TAGGTGTAGCACCTGCTTTGCTGCATTAACCATAACTGGTTGTAGCTTATCTAGCAGTTCCCAAGTATCATGAAAACTTGGGTCTCAGGCAGACAGAACTTGGAAGCATTGCAGAGACAACACACCTTGATTGCCTTTCATTTTCTAGTGACCCCTTCTGCAAACATAGACCGTGTGAACCTAAGCGTCCAGAGGTCTTTCTCAAAGCTTTCCAAACCCGTCTTTTCTCATCTGATGGTGAATAGGAGATTATGCTCCTGACCTAGGAAGAGTGAACAACATTCCAAACAGGAATAGTCATCAGCAGTATTTTTAATTAGTTTATGTTTGATAGATTGAGACACCACCACCTTCCCCAGTTGCTTCTGCAGTATTTCGAGTGTTCAGATTTCCCATGTGGCACAGCAAAGCAGCTTGACAACTGGGACAAGCCTAAAACTGCTCTGATCTCTGTAGTTCTTTGAACTGACTTCTTTAATGTGGGGCTACTCTGCAGCTGGCTCATCCAAACTTAATTTGAATTATCAAAAAACACTGCATGGAGCCAGAGCTGTGGCATGGGGCTCTGTAGTGTTGCATTGCTCTGCCAGAACAGTTGTAAACTGCATTTGTCTCAGCTTCTGTTCCTGAGACTCTCAGGTTCGAGAACATTCTGACAACTCTGTACACTGTCTATTAAACCAAATATATCTGTCTGTTACAGGAACCAGTAGAGATATATTAGGAACAAGTTGTAGCCTGCAAGCAGATCAGTGATTCTATATCCAATTTAGGTATGTGCTGGGCAGCTGGGCAGATGCTTACAGTGAAACGTGGTATAATAGTATCATTTTCTGAAGTAGGTGCTGGTGGCTGCTCTGATCCTCTGAACCATGTCCACTTGTACCAAAATATATTTAAGGTAGAACTGGAATCTGTAAAGAACCCATTAAAAAGAGAGGAGCCATTCTCTGTTAGTGAAATATGAAGAGCCTATATAGAAAAACTGCAAATTTAATTGCTGGAAAATATATTGTGTCCCCATCTTGTGAGAGGAGTTCAACAGCCACAAGCATCAGTAGGAATTTTTCAGATCTAAACAGATTATCAAAGCTGCGTACCATAGTACGCAGGGAGGCCAAGTGAAGCTTGGCCTCCCTTATATGCTGGGCTGACATGATATCAATCTTTTCCACCTCATCCCCATATGTCATTTTAGTTTATTTCTAAATACAGATCTGCACTGCAATGCTCAACTTGCTCACTCAAAGATATCACTTAGTAATGAGCTTGTAACTCTATGCTCTTGGCGCACAAACTCATATGGGATAGGCGTTTACGGCTCTGACCTACGACGTGCAGGATAGTGTATGCTGAAATAAGAAAGAACTATACGTGAGAGTCTGTCTCAGGTCCCTGGCAGACATTGTACTTAGGATCCAATTAACCCGTTTATCACACATTCAGGGAATTAATGGCACAACAAAATAAGAAACCAGCCAAAAAATGTTCCACAAAATATGAAGATATGCAGTAGTAATGGGCATGGGGCATCTCCTGCCATTTTCTTTATCAAATGTCTATGTGGCCCTACATTCAGGCCTTAGTACCAGAAGGGCATAAGAACAAGAGACTGGAAACTCTACAGGTGGGAAGGGAATCATCTCAGTGAACCTTTGACTTTTCTGATAAAATGTAATAATCTTCTCAGTGCTCTCCAGGGGGTCCCCTTCAACATACCACTGGATCCCGTTTAAAAATTCCAAAGGATAAATTAAAAGCCTGCAACATTGACATATAAAATATGCCTTGAGATAGACCTGCCTACCTACCTAGGTTCTAATTTAGCTACCACCATCTAAGCACCTGGGAGCTCATGGATTCAAAGCTTTTCTGAATCACATTCTTGCTCGGTACAGTTGCCTGTCATGCTACTTAATAGTAGTGTGCAAGACAACCCAGTTCAGAGATGCCTTGTACAGACAGTTTTGCTTTTTCAAACAGCTTTTTATGGAGGGAAGTTGGTACGCTAGTAGGAAGGAACAGGCTGCAAGTGGATCTAGACAGGTGACAGGGGTGGGCTGAAGAGAACAGGATGGGGTTCAACACTGACAAGTGCAAGGTAATGCACCTGGGGTGGAAGAACCAGCGGCACACCTGCAGGCTGGGGAACTCCCTTCTTGCCAGAGTTGAGACAGAAAAGGATCTTGGAGTCATCATTGATGCCACAATGAACACGGGTCGACACTGTGGTGACGCGGTCAGGAAGGCCAACCATACCTTGTCGTGCATCCACAGATGCATCTCAAGCAGGTCTCCCCCTCTACGCGACACTGGTCAGGCTGCAGCTGGAGTACTGCGTCCAGTTCTGGGCACCCCACTTCAGGAGAGGGTCCAAAGGAGGGCCACCTGCATGATCGGGGGCAGCAGGGCAGGCCCTACGAGGAGAGGCTGAGGGACCTGAACCTGTTCAGCCTCCAAAAGAGAAGGCTGAGAGGGGATCTAGCGGCAGTCTACAAACTAGTCAAGGACCACCAGCAGGCATTGGGAGAGTCCCTGTTCCCCCGAGCACTCCTGTGAGTTACAAGAAACAATGGACACAAGTTAGCGGAGGGTAGTTTCAGGCTAGACATTAGGAAGCGCTATGTCACTGTCAGGGCGGCTAGGATCTGGAACCAACTTCCAAGAGAAGTGATGCTGGCTCCTACCCTGGGGGGTCTTTTCTTTCCCGCCATGGCAGGGGGTAGGACTAGATGATCTCCTCAGGTCCTTTCCGACCCTACCAACTATGAAATGCTTAAACAAATTCAGAGAAAAAGAAACTCATGGATAATATATGGTTCATAGACAGCTAGTTTTCCTATAGGTTTTAGGTTACCATCCCCAGGGCACTGACAGGAAAGACTCCCACTCCCTCAGCGACAGTGAAAATTAAAGGGCCATTGAACACTAAATTCTCACAATATGTCAGCTTTACAGAGACATTGTTTCAAATAACTTTGGACTTTGTGTACTGTTATCAAAACAGCTTTTTCTTTCCCATTAATTCCTTACTGAACAACACTATAAACCCTGCATTTTGAATACAGGTTTAAGTCCTTTTAATGGGTTATAAGCGTGAATTTTATTTCCCTATTTGTTCATTTATACTTAAAAATTGGGGACAGATTGGCAATAACTTATTTAGATATTATAGCTCTTCATATAAGAGCACCCAGGAGCCATATTCAAATCCAGAGAAAAATCTCAGGAGAGGATATTAAGATACACGCAGCATTTCTGCATTGGAGTTTTCTATTGTGACTTGGTATATTGACAATAAACCACATGTCTACAGCAATAAGGATCTTAAATTATTTATGAGTGCATATATGAACATAAGAGTGAACAGGATGCATGGAAAGGCAGTGGTATGAAGTGGGGCTGAAGCTGGCTCTGTGTCCATTATTTGTTTGCTCTCCCATGCCACTTCCCACACCCCCATTCAATCAATCATAAATATATGTATATGTAGCCCTGCTGCCACAAGTACTAAAAACCACGGAGAGACTCCAATGGTCCTTCAGTGCATGGCAACAGCAACACTGTGGTGTGTAATTTGTGTCATAGTAAATATCAGAAATACTCAGGCATTTGATTTACCTAAAACATAACCATTGGGATATATAAGGCAAAAGGTTAGCAGACATTTGGAGTAGAACAGGGCAGAGGTGCTGAAACATGCTCCTGAAAAGCTGTATGTTTTAAACTAAGCCCAAAAATGATGTTTCCCTCTGTGAAATATGTAAATACAAACATAACCTAGGTTTGTTTTTGTCAAAATTCGCTGAGGTTTTTTAAAAGCCCCAAAATGGAGACAGAATAGGATAATCTTTGTGAAACATTTTCTGCAAAAACCTTTTGATGGAAAAATTTCTACCAGCTGTAGTGAGCACTCTGGAAAGCACAATGCACAAACTGGGAGCCTTTTGAAAGATAAGCAAATAGCCAAGCACTATGGGATATATAGGGAGATGGAGAGCTTAACTCTAGTTTCACTTCAGTTTTATGGCAGTGTAATTCCAAAGAAGTCATGAGCAGTATTCCTGATCAGCACTAGCATAAGACTCAGGCATTGTTTCATGCAGTTTTGCTAGACAGACTGGCTAGCCTACCTGCTATATGAAGGCTGCTTTACCCACTTATATCCATCTGAACACTATCCTAAACCTCACCTTTTGGGAAGGGGAGTTGGCAAAAGGGAATCTTTGCTATAATCCTTTTAGGAAGAGGGCAAAATGTAATTTTGGAGTTTTGTTTGAATTTAACTCTTTTATGACTGTGTAGAAGGAGTCTTGAACTTAAAATGCTGGGGCCATTTGACCCTGCCTTATAGTAATTTACACCAATGGAAATGGTGCATATGGGGCCCATGTATGTCCAAGAAGATATCCCACTGCCAGAACTTCCCACTACTTCCCTGTTTCCAAATTTTCAGAGTTGTTGGGAGACTGGTGGGCCAGATGGCATGGCTCTGGCCTGTGGACTGGGGGCTAAGTAGCCCTGTTTTGAACTATGAATTGTTTAAAACTTCACAACTTTTGCTAACTGCCTTAACTTTCCCAAGTGTCTGAAAAGCCCCCAGCTTTGAAAATTCATTTGTTTTTCTTAAAGCACAATGAGGAACTTCATTGCAGATAAAGACAGCATTACAGTAACCCAGTTACTGAGAGCTGCTTCCATCATAAACAGAAGAGATAGAAAGTACCTGTTGTTGAACACAAACACACTGGGAGAGTATCTTAGCCACAGTGTTCCTCCTCATGCTAGGGTAGCCGATGACAACCCATATTGCAATTAAGATACCAAGGACCAAGAGTTATCATGAAATAAAACTATATCTGTCTTTTTTGGAGGTGAGAGAATGTTAAATGATTTTTCAGGATATCATTAATGATGAACACAATGAAGTAGCTGTGGTTATGCTTCACTCTTCAGCTAACTACTTATGGAAACAATTAACATATTACTACATTACATACCCTTTTGGAAGTCCACCTTCTGAAGCCCTTCGTTTGAGGCTTAATTTATGCATCTCAGCCATTTCCTTTAGTGTCTCTGCTGAGTAAAGGCCAATAGGGTTGTTATACTGCCTTGCAGGGCTCAGCTGGTGTTTAGGACTACGGCCATCAGTGAACACAGGGCTTTGTTTTGAACTTAGATTACTCTTTGGAGGTGAAATGTCAGGTGTCACTGATTGAGAAGACATGGAAGTTCTAACTGCAGTAGTCTTTAAAAAGGAATAACTATTTGAATAGCTGATTTCTTGCTTGCTGAGGTAGCCTGAAAGTGTTCCATTGGTTGCTAAAATAGCACTCAAAGGCCCAGTCGCTGTGTTAGTTAGAAGACTGAATGTTGTTCTGCTGCCATTGATTTCTGAAGCAGGGTCCTGTAGTAGCAAACATGCAGGTGAAGAAAAGAAAAAAAAGAGCAATCATAGAACACATGCAAAAATAATATATTTATATCTATTGCTTTTGACACATTCATACAATTAATGGCCTTCATAGCAAGTCTTTCAATAAAGGAGAATATACAGTTCATCTCCCAATAAGACAGAGCTACACACTCAGGCATTCTTTATTTTTTTATTTAAAATGTACAAGTTATATTGACTAATAGCAGAAGCTCTTCAGACATTAAATAGCCATAATTTGAAAATAGGGCTATAGCTTCTATTCATTCCATGGATAATTAAGAAATCATTTGAATGTTTTGAAGTCAGTCCCAAATGAGGCAACAATATAAAATTACAAAATTCTATATTATTACTTTAGTCATATAAGGTTTAATGTTTCACAGATCATGCCATTCAATTTTTAATGTATTACCTTCAAGTTATTGAAGTCCATATGCTGCAATGCTTTCACAGGCTCCAGTTCATGCTAATTAGGCCATGCAACAAGGTTAGCAAGTAAGGTAGAAAAACTTAAGAGAATGTATAAACCAACAGAAATTGCTCTCTTTTATGCATGTGCATAATTTCCACTTGAATGTATGGACGTTATACATTCACAAAGCATGGACACTGTCCCCTAGGCATGTGATGGAATACTCATGATTCAGAAAATACTTCTAGCTAAAACACTATGGCATGTTATTTTGGTAGGGATCATTGGAAGCACGCCCAATAATAAACACATGTGCAAGACCTCATGCTGGTCCTTCATATTGGGCACACATGGTATCTTTCAAAAACACTCTGGAAAACAGGAAATTATGCCTTTTGTTAAATATGATTTCAATATTTTGTTTTTACTAATGCAACTTTGTACATAATAAATACACTTAATGCTAAAAATAAATAAAAACAGTTTGACATTTTCAGCAACATGTCATATCGTGTTAGGAGAACTGAACATAAACTGGGAAAAGATGTCTCACTACATTATCCTACTTTTAAGTACTTTAATTCAAAACTTTCAAGCTAGTGCTTGCTAGAACCTATATTGTTGCCTATGCCCCTTCAATGCAAATTTACCATGATGGAACTCCACCTAAGTCAATGGTGCACCTGGCACTTCTGATATCTCCTGCATCTCCATCAAGCTTTCCTGATCACAGAGAAAAAACTTGAAAATGGAAAACAGAAAGATGCATTATTGTATAGATCTCATCATTTGGAGGTCCAACTGCCAATTTCTGAATATTTGAAATTGGCAATGTTGAAATGGTCTTACTATAGGACAGACCAAAGGCCTCCTTTGACTATTGAAAGGACATTAAATTAAAATTTAGTCAAAGTAACGCCAATAAATAAGCTCCTAGATCAAAGAGGCAATACATGTTTACAGAAGTTTATGGATTATTTTAGTACATATGTAACTGTGTTTAGTACATATGTCACTTTGCAATTTATCCCAGAAGCCTGAGCCCAGAGTTATAACTTGTCTCTGATGTAGGGTGGTAGAAGGAGCATTTTTCCCCTCCCCAGCCCTGAATGCATAGCAGCTGTAATTAATAGCAAAATGCTTAGAAATGCAAGACTTCCAACCAGCATTTCTGCCAATCCTCAGAATTTGATTTGGTGCATCTAAGATGCCCTATAACCCCCAATTTTGCCATAGTAAAAGTCACTATTTCTGGACTAACGTCCACTATTTCTCATACAGTTGAAAGATCAAAGGCTAAACCTTTCCCAGTTATCGAAGGAGACCCAGTTCAGTTGGCACCCCTAGGAGAATCTGCCTTATACCAAATTCTACTGGATTGCAGGGCCACAGTTAGACATCACAATGATCCTTATGAGGTTGCCAAGGATGAAAGACCTGAGCAGAATTTGGTCTTCAAGGGCACTTCCAGACAAGTGCGCACATGCCTCTTACAGTGTCTCAAATGCTGCAAGAGGCATGTGCGGGAACAAAAAAAAAAAACATTTCCTGACTGCAAATTTGCAGTGCAGGGGCAAAATTAGATAGCTGAATATCCAGGGGTCAAAAAATACCCAGGGGAAAAAAAGTGGGGCAGGCCACAGTCCTGGACTGTGCCCTGAGGCAACCAGAGTTTCAGTCCTCCAGAAAGCAGCTCTGGTAGCCAGCCAAAGCATCTCTATGGCTGGCCCTTGCCCCAGTGCTGAAGCACAGTGCCTGCCCATGCAGGTCAAGCAGTGGTGCAGGCTGCAGGGACTTGCCCACCCCCATCTCCCGCCCACTCCCCCACCTGGCCCCAGCCCCCTGCACTCACCAGCAGTAGCAGCAGCAAGTAGGGCTGCTTGTGGCCTCATGGCACAGCCCCTTTGTGCGGGGAGCAGCAGGGCTCAGCCTCAGCTGCCTGGCACCCATACTGCTGCATGGCATGGGTGCAGCTCAGCTCAGCAGGGCACCCTGTGCTGTCTCAACTCTGGGCTGCTGAAACTAAGCAGCGCCCCTGAATTGCCAGACAGTGCACAGCACCCTGCTGAGCTGGGCAACTCTCAGTCTACGTGGC